TGCCCTCCCCCGTCCTGCCAGTGCTGCTCTCCCCACCACACGTGGCCTTGAGGACCTGCTGCTCCTCCCTACTCCGGTCAGCCTGAGGGAGAAGCCGGCAGGAAGCCTGCATGACCCTCCCCATCCGCCCTGGGAAGAAGAAGTTGCTGGGTGGCCTGTGCTGCCCCCCCTCCAGAGGTGGGCAATGCAGGGTAAGTCTAGTCAGATGTATTTGAATTTGGCAGCGAGACAAGATCAAATATTGTCAGAAGTTAGGTGAGAGAGAATTGCAGCATGATTAATTGCTACATAACTGGTTAAGAATAGTTAATTGAAGGTAATAATGAACTATACAAATAATACAATCCTTCCTGAGCTGTTTACTGCAGTAAGAAAAAGCAGAGTTTCAGTTAAAATGCAATTTAAATAAGCGTTTACCCAAACTCAATTGGGGGGCGGCGAAATGTGCTTTCTGCTTAATTTTTAAGCTTCCTTGAAATTGAATAGAATTTCTTCCTTCAAACTCCATTCTTTTTAGTCTTAGTTGATTTTACTCTGTGTATAAGCATAAGCCACTGTTTGCCTTCATATTGTAATTCTTGGTTGGATCATAGCACTGCTAACTCTTCTATATTTAAGGGTTTTTTGGCATTCCCATTTGGAAACTCCCCTATTTTCCAGAGACACGATGCTCAGTATTTCAGGGAACAGCTATGTAGTCTCATGGGGGATGTTTAACATGGGGGCTTTTTTCTTTTATACATACTTTATATATTCGTAGAACTAAGTTCTTGGTGAGTGCTGCAGCTCCTATATTAATGTAAGATGCATTACAGTGCTCAAGCTCCCTGGAACAAGGCTTGCAATTAGGTTAGTACAATAGTTCTCAAACTGTGGATCAGGACGCCATTTTAATGCATTCCCCGGGGTTGGCGTTAGATTTGCTGGGGCTTGGGGTTGAAGCCCTTGGGGATTGGGCTTTGCCCCCTTGTCCATGGCAGTGGTATTAAGGCAGGCTTAGGTCTCCCTGGAATTATGTAGTATTTTTTGTTGTCGAGTGTGTTGCGGTGCAGTGAAGTTTGAGAACCCTTGGGCTAATATAAGTGCAGGTTCATTTACATGTCTCATTCATAGAGGAGTTTAAAACTTGTATGAGTGTGTTACTTCAGTTTAATTGTATACAGGGAAACTTGTATTAAATGACTACTCAAAGGACCAGCAAAAGTCAGTTATCTAATATGGGGGAAAAGAGCATTTCTTTTAAAGTAAAAGACAAATTACATAGAAACAAAGCAGATTCAAAGCAGCAGAAAACACAAAATGGTATCTCTTCTCTCTGGTGTTAAATTGATGTGTTGTCACCAACAACACTGTATTATTTTGTAGTATTCAGGACATAACTTAGTCTCAAGATTATGCTCTTATCTACTATGATCCATGAATAGTTGGTTTAAACCAAATTTAAACGTTGCTAAACTCAGCTTCTTGTGTACGGTCTTTGAATGATGTATAAGACATGGGTTTGCCTGTTGCAGTGGGTCATTGGTTACAGATGCAGAAGCAGAAACATTTCTGTGCAAGGAGGTGCCCTTTTATTTATTTTATTTCTGTTCAAAATTTGTAAAAAATCTTGTTTCAGGTAATGCCCATTGTGGGCTGCAGGGACTATATCAAGGATGTGAATTTCAACCTGGACAGTGAATTTCCTGTTTTATATCATGGTAAGCCAGACCCTTAAGGGTGCTGGTGTGTGCTTCATGGTTAAGATCACATGAATTTGTGCTTGCAAAGTTCTCTCATTCTTCCCTTTCTTAAGTTTAAGAATTACAACCAAAGTCCTGAAGAAGAGCTCTGTTTAAGCTTGAAAGCTTCTCTCTCTCTCTCTCTCTCTCTCTTCCCCCCCCCCCTCCAATAAAAGTTAGTTCAATAAAAGTCCACCTTGTTTCTATAATAACCAAAGTCCTGACCACTTTGGGGCATTAATAGAAAGTAAATAGCCCAAAAGATCAGGCATTCAAGATAGATCAGTTTTTAGGACTGCAGATTTTGACAGAGCTCCCTTTAATCTTATTTTATACATGAAAGTAACTGTTTATGAGAGAGAGGTTTATTTTCTGGTATTTCTTTCCCTCCAAAAAAGATAACTAGAATGAAAAACTCCCAGTTAGGATAAATGATATGCAATTAAAAGTGTCGTTTTTTTTTAAAAGCCTCCTGGCTTTACATTTGAAAGACAGGGATAATCTGAACCACAAATGTGTACTCAAAAAAAGAAATATCAGTATTTAAATCTCCTCAATAGTCTAGTTTTAATTGGTTTTTATTTGTTGTTTCAAGTCTTGTTATCATGGGGTACGTTTTAATTTGTCTGGGGAACTTTTGTTTCAGTTGCAGGATACTGTTATGTTAATGCCAGGCAGAGTCATAAGGCCACCGTTTATTTTTGGCTTTGCTCGACAGACAATGTCAAATCAGTGACTTCTTGGCTTTGGAGAGTAGTGTGTTTCTGAAAATACTGGGAACCGGGACAGAGACCTGAAAATCCATAACCTGTTCTAAATTAGCTAATCTCAGTTTGTTCGGCAACAAGTTCATCGTGAATGATATTACGCCCCTATAAGGGGTTATTCATGCTAGATCTCACTTATCAAATACCAATGCTATCCTGATTTTAAAACTGGGAGAATCAAAATGCATGGATGTCTAGTAGCTTGCTGAAAGTCATGCTGTTTGTTGGGAGTGGATCCACGACTCCCTACCCCTCTTCCAGTGCCCTTTCCACTGGACCATGTTGCCTTTTTGGTACTCATGCTGGCAATTCTTGATGCATGCATTTTGGGAAAATGGACATTATGCTATAGAATTCAATTCCCAACTGGATACCAGTGTGTTATTTCAAAACAATTACAAAAATGAGAAGTCTGGAGAAAATTAGTTTCATATGTAATTATGCAAAACAATAAATCAACTGTGGTTATATACGTTAATCAGTTTCTTAACAGAAAGTAGTCCTAAAAAGAGAGTGACCAGGTTAGGGTGACATCCCAGCACAATTACTTCAGTTTTATTGTTAATTCTGGTATTTTAGCGAAGTTCCAGGTTGCATAATTGTATTCTGTCTACCTAAAATTCTCCCTGTTGTTTCAGTTAGGGTATAAGCTTCGTTTCCTTGACGAAGCTACTGTGTAGAATTGCAGCAAGTAGTTAAACTGCTCTGTTCGGCCAGTAGGTGGCTGTTACTCATTGGCAGGTAAAATGATTCCTCAGTGTGTGTATATAAACAAAAATTAGGCAAAGAACCGACTCTTCAACATGCTACCTCCTGACATAAGTGACCACTGAATCCTCAAGCTTTCCAATACAGTGGAATGCTGTTTATCCAAGCCTCCACAATCCAGTTCTCTGAATTAACTGAGCCATCCTGCACCCATCCTCCAGTTTATCCAGATTTTTGATGATCCAATCTGTCCCCGGTCCCAGTTAGATTGGATAATCAGGGGTCCACTGTATAGTGTCTGATGTTTAGTTAAAGATCCACATCCTCTGATGATTCTCAGGCCTAGTCTACACTAGAAGTTTAGATTGAGTTTAGTCGCTTGAGGTCAATTTTCTAAACAGAGAATCTGCACTACCAAGACCATTCCATCCACTTTAAGGCTGTGGAAGTCGATATTGGTACGCCTGCTTTTCATGAGAAGTAACACAAAATTCAACCTGGTATGATTGAATTCACAATAGTGTAGACCCAGTGTAGAGAAAGTTGATGTTCTTGGCTTCCAGGAGACATCCCACTGTGCCTTGCTTTGGCCAGGACTTACACCTCCCACAGTGCCCCACTGTGACCACTCTGTGATGAACAGAAAAAAAAAACAGGAACATTTGAATTTCATTTCCTGTGTGGCCAGAGTTGAGAGCAGACCTCAGAGCAGTCAGCACACCTGGCCAAGATTTCCATGAGCTCCAGTTCCTTGGAGCGCAAAAACGCGCCAGCATAGACTGTGCAGGAGATCTTGGACCTTACTGAGGCTTGGGGAGAGGAATCCATTTTCTCAGATCTCCGAAATAGCAAAAGAAATGCCAACGTTTACATGAAAATAGCAGATCACGTGGTGGAGAAAGGATACTTAAGGGACTCCCAGCGGTGCCAAGTTAAAATAAAAAAACCAAGGCAGTACTATCACAAGGCAAAGGCAAACAGAGAGTGTAACGTGTCACTGCAAACATGCTGCTTCTACGACAAGCTGCATGTGATTCGAGGAGGGAGGGGACCTTGCACTGTAGGGTGGGGGAAAACCAATCAGAGTACCACGAAAGTGGCCTTGCACATTCGGACGTTTGCAGCCGCTGTTGACCGTTCCATACCTGCAGCACTATGCTGTCCCACCGGTCTGTGCTTGTGTCCCAGCACCAGAACCGGCCTTCCACTGCATCCAGATGATTGATTGCCAGCTATGTTTCCATGTCGCTGAACGCAAAGGCTTGCCTGTACAGCGTGCCAGTGGCATCCCATGACAGGAGATACCTCCTCCTTGTCCTCTTCCTGGCATGCAATGCTTGCATTCTCGGAATACTGCACCATTAGGCGCACCAAGGTAGACCTCAGCATCACAATGGGTTGATGCAAAACGGGATCCTCAAGTGGGGCCAGGCTTCCTCTGTTGTGGCATCTGCACAGGCAACCAGGGCCAAAAAGGGCAAGTCAAGACTGTTTCCCGTTGATCACAAGCAAGGGGGGAGGGAATAGGCGAGCGCATTATGGGACGCTGACAACATGAACTCCAAACCTTCTGCTCCACAGCATACCCCAGAATGCAAAGCACTGCAGGCATTGTGGGATAGCTACCCACAGTGCATCGCTCTCAAAGTCAGCGATAGCACATCCCCAGCAGGGAGGCTATGTCGAACTAAGTTGAATTCTTGCGCACAGTGAGGACCCAGACCTTCAACTTTGCAGAATCAGGTGATGGGGCATTGGCCTTACTACATTCAACCTTATATTGTAGTGTAGACATGGCCTAAGCAACTAATTTTTGCTAGTCAATGTGGTGGCCATTTAAATCATGTTTCAGTATAGTTCTTAGTGCTTTTGGAATCCTTCAGTGTGAACCAGAGGATGGTTTTACTGATTTTAAATGTGTGTCATAGACATGCATGTCAGAATAAATTAAGTAGAACACTCTTTTGGGAGTGGGGGAAGTTTTAATATAATCTG